AGTATTAATGTAGTAGTAGACTGACATTTAGAGGAAAACTTTTTTGGACTGTGAAGCTGTTTCCAGTTTGGGCAAGTGGGTCCATTGTCTAGTAGTCTTTATTTCAACAACACCAACAAAAACATTTACAACAGTGAAATGACAGTGTTACAGTGAATTCAAAAGTGATAGTTTGTATGCTTGTATATTTTGTTTATATGTAAAACGTTTTGGTCTGTTCTGCTTGCCTGCTCAAATAATGTAAGTAATGTTAATTTTAAAACTCATTTACTGAGTTCACATTATTGAAAAGATACATTAATTGTTCTTATGTTACTTTAAAAGGAAAGTCTTTTTCCTTTCTTATGAAACTATTTAACTGACACATTCTCCAAAGAAAGCATCTATAAAGGCAAAATAAATGTCCAGCAAAGTTTCTGACTATTTGGCACATTTGCCCCTGAAATTGTTCTTGCTCCAATCCTACCCCAATCTGTAGCAAGTGATAAGCATGGCAGATTAACAGCAAGGACTTTGGTACCAGACTGCATGGTTTCAGAACCTGATTTCAAAATTTAGTAGTTGTGTGACCTTGGGCAAGTTACTTGTTGGCTGTGTATCTCACTTCTTTTTCTTTTTGTTTTTTTGAGACAGAGTCCAGCTCTGTTGCCCAGGCTAGAGTGCAGTGGTGTAATCTAGGCTCACTGCAACCTCTGCTTCCCGAGTTCAAGCAATTTTCCTGTCTCAACCTCCTGAGTAGCTAGGGCTATAGGTGTATACCACCAAGCCCAGCTAATTTTTTTGTATTTTTAGTAGAGACAGGGTTTCACCATATTGGCCAGGCTGATCTCAAACTCCTGACCTCAGGTGATCCACCTGCCTCGGCCTCCCAAAGTGCTGGGATTACAGGCGTGAGCCACTTGCCCAGCCTCTCATTTCATCATTTGTAAAATAGGTGTAATAATAGTATCCACTTACAGGTCTGTGGGAAGTTATTAACATATATCTATATGACACTTGGAATAGTACCTGGCACACAATTGCTACGTAGGTGTTAGCTTCACTTCAAATCTTTGACCCTTTATCCTAATTCAATTTCTCCTCTTGTCTGTTGAATTTGGCAGTGTTTATTTGGTTTACCTGGTGCTTGAACCTTAGGTTTCCCAGGAAAACTTCCCCTTGGCTGTGTGAACATTCCCCTGTGCCTGGGGTGTTTTTCACCCCTTTCCTTCAGATTCTGTCTTCACAGAGTTAACGTCTTTCATCCTTTGGCTCTCACCTTGCACATCCCTGCTTAAAGCATAGGGCACTAAATCTAGCCTGAGTGGACCAGGGAAGGCTTGTTCCAATCAGGCTAGATTTAGCACCCTATGCTTTAAGCATTCTTATATCCCTTTAACTTTTCTTCACAGCACTTAAAGTTTGTAGCTATAGTTATGTGACTATTTAAATATGTATATCCCATTGAAATATAAGCTCCTTGAAGGCAGGGTAAAAATCCATTTTGTTCATTATATCCCTATCATGATAGATTTGGCATAGAGTATTTGCACGAGAAAAACTTGTTTAATAAATGATAAATCAATTTCAGAGATCAGAAATTTGAAGTTCAACACAAGTCAACAAGACTATACCACTAGACATGACAGAACCGAAGTAGAGTTCACGTTTGATTCAAAGTCCTTCATTGTTTCCAGGTATTACGTCTTTGATTATACAAATCAAACAAAGGACTCTGCAGTTAGTATTGTGGAGCTTCTAGAATGATAAGTGTATAAATCAGAAAGACTAGAACTATTTAAGGTATTCTGTAAGAACTGAGTCTCCCTGGGAAACTGATTTTTAAGACATGAAGTAGGAGTTAGAATGGGCACGGGGAGATAGGCAGAGGCTTCTAGGTAGAAAAAACCATTTACATGCAGTAGTCCAAGGATGAGAAAAGCTTGCTGAATGAGGACAGAGAAAAGGCCACTGTGATTGGAACAGAAAGAGTAGGAAGTGGGAGGTTGATATTGATCAGAGAGGCAGGGTCAGATCATGCAAGAGCTAATGTTAGTAACGGAAGGGAAAGCCACTGAAGCATTTCAAGTGGGGAATGACACAGTCAGCTTTGCATTTTCATAAGATGATACTGACTGCACTATGAGGGATTTGAGAGACGGAAAACTTAGTAATTGGTTGGAGATGGAAGTCAAGATAGAAGGACATAAAAAGGGAATGCTCACATGTCTGATATGATCAACTGGAAAGATTGTGGCGCCATTTACTGAGAAAGAGCTATTAGTAGATACAGCAAGACTATTAATTTTGTTAGGTATATCATATGCTCTTTTTTTTTTTTTTTTTTTTTTTTGAGACGGAGTTTCACTCATGTTACCCAGGCTGGAGTGCAATGGCGTGATCTCGGCTCACCGCAACCTCCGCCTCCTGGGTTCAGGCAATTCTCCTGCCTCAGCCTCCTGAGTAGCTGGGATTACAGGCACGCACCACCATGCCCAGCTAATTTTTTGCATTTTTAGTAGAGACGGGGTTTCACCATGTTGACCAGGATGGTCTCGATCTCTTGACCTCGTGATCCACCCGCCTCGGCCTCCCAAAGTGCTGGGATTACAGGCTTGAGCCACCGCGCCCGGCCTATAATATGCTCTTAATAAATAATGACAATTGTTATTGTCTTTGTGGTTGCTGTTATTACTCATTATTCCATACCACTCTCTGTGACTGGGAGTTATGGTGATTTTTATAGATTTCAATGGATTTTGGCCTGATATATTGCTCCCACTACGTACCCAAGCACATCTGGATCTGGTGATTGGAAAAGGAAGTCACCCAAGGGACCAAGAGAAGGTAGGCTTAGGATACTGTGAGGAGAACATGAGAAAACAGACTTCCTATTTTTTGAATTTCCTTCTCTTTTTCCCCAAATCAAGAAATTTTAGATACGATAGTATGACCATGACCAACAGATTTATTAGAGCAAACAGTTATATAAGTCATCAATGCTGTATGGGGAGATTAAATAAAATTAGCCTTAATTTGCCTTTTAGGGTAAATAATGGATGAGCATAGATAGGTCAAAGGGCTTTCCAATAAACTGAGTAAGCAAAGAAATCAAAAAGTATGCTTAGATCTTTGACCTTGTTTTTTTTTAATTTAGATTTTATGTATATATCTTTGCCTCATGTAAAATCTGTCATATTCATTTAGATTGTTTACATGTAGAGAAAAAAAGAATACCTATTATGATGGTTAGTTGGCACTATTGATTATGTAGCCCATTTTAATTCAGGTGCCACCTGTGCAAGCATACCAGGAGATTGCTAAGCCTTCACACTGTGTGACTGGCTTATGTCCACTGCCTTTGTTCCCTAGAGATGCATACTTGCACCTAGTAAACCAAAGGAATTACTTTGGTTATTTGGAATGCTAATCACGCATCAGGATTAGCCACATGGTGTTAATGAGAATCCCCACTATCATTATCCTGTTTATCCTGTTAAAGAAGTCCTAGAGCATTTGAGGTAGATGGCAAATGTGTTAAGTATTCTAAAAGGCAAAGTCCATTTCTGAAGTCTTGAGCCAAGTTAAGAAATTTTATAGTACTGAATCCACGTGCTAACTAGGCATTTTCTAACAAGCCATCTATAAAACAAGTAAAGAAAGAGGCAATGAAAGGAAGTCAAATGTAAGAAAAGTCCAGATTGTTTTGGTCACGTGAGGTCCTGCTTACAATGGAAAAGCCACAGTGATTCCTGCTTAATCACACATATATATTTGACATCATTTAAGATTAATCATCATCAGGGACCATCATACAAAGACATATAGATTGCTATACAGCAAGGGGTTTTAAAGAAGTAGAAGAGATGAATATTTTAACTGACCTTCTAGACAAGTTTGACATGTATTTCATTTACACTAGAATATTATGGAGGTCCTTGAAGTATTGTAATATATTTTAATGTATAACTTGTTATATTAAACTAGAAACAGCATCTAATAATATATATTTTCATTCTTTTTTATTTATATACACACATACACCTATTTTAAAAGTGAACATGTCTTTTTTGCTGCCTTGGGTAATTTGTCACATTTTCTAATTTGGTATAATTCAACAAGGTATAAACCACCCCTGCCTTCAGCATTCAATATAACAAAATAAGATAGTGCTGAATCATTTGAACATTTGCATCTATTCCTCATTATATTAACCAGCTCTTGTTCATATTCAGAGTTTTAGCTTTTTGACACTTGTTGAAGATAAGTCATTTTGATTACTGTCCAGAAATTCTGAAGAAGAGAATTTTCCCCCTCACATCATCAGTGCTTAGAAGCATGGGATTGAAAATCAAGACTGTGTTCGAAAAAAAAATCTCTACCATTTTTTAGCTGAGTAATCATTTAACCTTTCTGTGCCTTAGCTTTCTACATAACCTTGGATGCTTATTGTCAAACAGATAAAGTAGAACCTATCGCAAGGACTTGTGTCAAGTGCTATATTACAGGTAAAAAACATTGATCTGTGCCTGGCACATAGTAAGTGTCCAAAAAATGTTGGTTATCATCATTACCATTTTTAGCCTTCTAAAATACAATCATTTACTTTGTTCTTGGGGACTAGGAAAAAGATTCTACAAAAGAATAGCCTAGAATATTCAAACATTTTCCTTTGTATTCCTAGCAATCTGCTTTATCAGAAGCATCAATCTTTTTCCCATTTAAAATATTTTTCATATTCCAATGGTTCTCAAGCTTTTCTTTTACATAGGTACCTGTATAATAGAGATAATCCATGAACTTTCACATGATACAATCTACAGTTTTAGAATCTTTTGATTAAGCACATATGAACAGAGGGATTTAAGGAACCCTTGCAATAACTACACAGCCCCTCCTGGGTCTGAGGCTGACTTGGCTAGGAATCATGGTTTTAATCAATAATTAATATTTAGACTGAAGTGTAATTCTAGTTTATTTTTAAAAACCCAGTGGGTCATGGCTCTTTTAGCCTCTCTTACCTCGCCCATGACTGCTATAGGAGTCTCTCCTGTTGCCTGAGCAACACGATGTTCTACTAAGTAAAACATATATTCATCGTAGAGTAGACGAATCAGGTGGAAGGAGCCAAAGCTAGCAGCACTGCGTAAGGTTAAGTCCCGAATAACCATTGAGCTGTTCCAAGAGAAAAGACATATATGCAGCTAATATTAATGACAAGAATTAGCATTCAACCTATCTTTCCTCTTTAAAAATGTCAAGCTGGGAGCCTATATGGTTGGTATAGCATAAAACCTGCCATGAAATAATTTCACTATTGAAAGCAGTTGGCTCAACTCATTTAAATAGAGTAATAAAGAGGTAATTCTCACTGAGACTTGATCCTTTTTAGAGACAGATAGGTCTCAATGGAAAAGTCATTTTACTATCATAGGCAAGTCTGCTCTTTCTATCAAACTCACAAATTAATCAGAATTGAACAAAAATATCTCTGAAAGGTTGACCATTCATCAACACCCTAAGAAAAAGCAACTCGAAGTAAAAATCTTATTGACGAGGGTTGGCAGTCTGTACTCTCTCAATGATAATGACCTTGGGGGTATGCATTAAGAAAAATATGTATTTCTGCCAGACAAAATTTACAAAATATACTAAGCAATGTTCTCAGATGTGGCAATATAGAATATAGGCAAGCATGTACAGGGATTCCAGCAATGTTTTTGGAAGGCAAATGTATTAAGTGCTTCCAGTTTCTTAACAATTTCCATTTAAATTAAGGCACATTTCCATTAAAAATAAGCATAAGATCAATTAAGAAATATCTATCTTTGAAAAAGCAAATATTTAATGTATCCAATACCAAAATATAAGCAATATTAATAAAATACCAATAATAAACTCTACTATATTTAAAATGGAAATGAGTCCAAAATAAAATCTTGGCTTCAAAATGCCAATCATTAAGCTTGTTCATGCACTTTAAAACTTAAAATATTCCTAATTTAGAATCAGGGTGAAGTGTGTTTGAGTGTGTGTATGTGTATGTTTCTTATCACTTTCATTTAGTGGCCTTTTCCTAAAGATTTTTGGCCTATGAACAACCATTCTTTCTCAGGAGGAAGAGGTAAAATCTCACCTATACCTCGTTTTACAGTAAAGAATTATAAAACATCAGGCAAATGGAAAAACGACTGTACTTCTGTTTTCTGTTTCATTTTTCAATCTTGTTTAAATAGAGACTACTAGTACATCAAATTGTATGCATTGAACTTGGCAAGTGACAGATCATCACTGTCCATCTGAAACACAGAAGCCTTGGATTTTGTCTCTTCATTAACTGACTGTTGACCTCACAAAGATCATTTCCCCAAGATGTTTTTCCTCTTGCATGGAAACAAAACCCTACTTTTAGTCTTAGCTAACTAACATGCTTATTTAAAGGATAAAATAAGTTAAAGGATATGAAATCAACTCATTAATGAATAGAACGCTATTCAATTGTAAGTGATTGTGGTTATAATACACAGAATAGGAGAAGCTTTCATCATCCTCATTTATTTATGGGTAGCAAGAATAGCAATTATATGATGATGGCAGAGGACTTCTCATTTCTGTGGATCTATTTACTAAAATAATGATTATGAGGACGATAATAATAATGATAAGCACGGGTTTGTAGTTACACAGACCCAGGTTACCATGATGTGATTTCAATTGTGATCACACAATTTTTTGTAAGGTTCAAAGTTTAGCTTAAGAGTCAACTGACATAACGTATGTGAAATCATAAGAAAACTATCCATGTAACTATACTGTTATATACATTAGTGTTAATAATATATTCATTATTATAAATAGTTAGGTCTAGTGAATGATATCTTAGAACTGATTATCTTAATGAATTCCTGAAGTTTACAACTCTATAAATAATTATTAAAAATAAATGAATACTTTCCTTTGCATGCCAAAATATATGACAACATTCTATATATAATTCTATCCATGATTTTTCCTAAAATTCAGTGACATACTACCAATTTGTAAAAATTATTTATAAGAGTATAATAGCTATGTGAAAATAAATATTTCTATTCCTATGGAAAAAAAATTAAAGCAGTAAATCACTTGCTAAAAAAAAAAAGCAAAAGCCACACAAAAATAAAATGTTACATAACATTTTTATCAATACTATCAGTGACATGAAATAAATGATTTTTAAAGCAAAGCATGAATAGAATATTTACTCCTAATTGCATTTATCTTGCTGAAGAAAGCTAGCAAATATTTAAAATTTTCAAAATTTAAAAATGTAAAGTATAAGACAAATGGCTAACAAACATACAAAAACATGACTAATCTTATTTAGAATTAAAGAAATGAAAATTAAGATACCATATACAATCTATAAAACTGTCAGAAGTTAAAAGACCCAATGTTACAGTTGGTTTGGAAAACTCTGCTGTATCTAAACATTTTGTTGAGAGAAATTTGGCAGTATGTGTCAAAATTTAAAATGTCAAAATCTTTTGACTTTTTTTTTTTTTTTTTTGGACGGAGTTTCGCTCTTGTTACCCAGGCTGGAGTGCAATGGCGCGATCTCGGCTCACCGCAACCTCCGCCTCCTGGGTTCAGGCAATTCTCCTGCCTCAGCCTCCCGAGTAGCTGGGATTACAGGCACGCGCCACCATGCCCAGCTAATTTTTTGTATTTTTAGTAGAGACGGGGTTTCGCCGTGTTGACCAGGATGGTCTCGATCTCTTGACCTCGTGATCCACCCGCCTCGGCCTCCCAAAGTGCTGGGATTACAGGCTTGAGCCACCGCGCCCGGCCCCTCTTTTGACATTTTAATTAGATTGAGCCAGCAATCTAATTCTAGAAATTTACACAAATGACCAAAGATAGTTAAAACTGCAGCACAATATTTGTACTAGTTAGGAACTAGGAGAAAAAGGTAAATATCCTTAAAAAGATACCCTAGTAGGATGCTGACTAAATAGATTATGGTTCATTTAGATAAATAATTTTATGCAATTATTATAAAAATGAAGCAGAAATATAAGTAGTAACATAGAAAGGTGTTTAAAATATAATGGTTAAGTTGAAGCAAGATATATGAGCTCATTTACATAAAAACTCTCCATATGTCAAAAATTCCTACTCCTAAATAAATTGGAATATCTAATACTTTATTAGCATTGAGATCACACACTTCATTAAACTAGTATTAGTCACTTTAAACATTTATATCCTTTTACTTGAACTTATCCAAAGATACATGTATAGTTATATATGAAGATAATCATAACAGTATTTTTAAAAACCGTATCAAAACACCAAAACCCATCTTAATGTTCAAGAAAAAGGGAATGTTTAAATAATGTATGAGGCATAAACATAATAAAATGATATGAGGACAATAAACATTATGTTTCTGAAGATATTTAATGGTAAGAAATGTTCAAGACATGATGGTAAACAAAAAATATTAAGAAAAATATGGGTAAATAGTCTACGGTAAATGACTGTATCCCAATTTTATTTAACACAAAAAGAAAACATTTAACCAGTGGTAATTTCTGGGTAGAAGTTTTTGTATATCCCAGGTTATCTTTCTAAAAAATTAATTAATTTTTTTAGAGATGGGGGTATTGCCCAGGCCGGGGTGCAGTGATGCCATTATATTTCACTGCACCCTTGAACTCCTGGGTTCCAATGATCTTACCCTCTTCCCCTCCCATAGGCACTTGCTACCATGCCCAGCTAATTATTTTATTTTGTTAGAGATGGGGTCTCACTATGCTGCCCGGGTTGGTCTCAAACTCACTATGTTGCCGGGGCTGGACTCAAGTGATCCTCCTGCCTCAGCCTCCCAATTAGCTGGGATTACAGGTGCAAGCCTGTATTTACCAGAATTTCTAATGTGAGCACATATTAATTGCGTAATAAAAATATTTATTTTAAAATATGACATTCATTATATAATAATATAGAAAAACAACACTGAGTCAGGTGAATGTTAATAAATGTTTGCAGGAATAAATATCACAGATACAGAATGAATTTTTTATATATTTCTAAGTTCAAATTTTAGGCCTTTGTATTTAGGCCTTTTATATTTTAGGCCTTTGTATTAAAATATAATAACCCTGAAATCATGTGAACAACTAAGGAGAATGTTTATAACAAGTAGTTTTCTGATACCATTTTAGAAATGCAAGTTCAACTTTTTCCAAGAAAACTCACATTTATCTATTCAGCAGATATTTATCATGTTCCTACTCTATGGCAGGGTCTTGGTTCAGAGAAATCAGACAAAATTTGGTTTAAAAAAAAGTTCACATTCTGTTAGGTGAGACAGTCAGTAAATATACAGGTAGATAAAAAAATATAAAGATAGGGAATAAAACATCTATAAATCAGGGCCAGAGATTGGAGAGTGATGGAGGCAGGCATTTTAAATTGGGGTATCTGAAAAATGCTTTCTGAGGAGGTGATAATCTGAGCAGAAACTGGATTGAAGTGAGGAAATGAACACAGGTGAAGAGTTTTCCTGGCAGAAAGGAGAGTAAATAAAAGACCTTGAGGCAAAACTCTTTGCTGTGTTCAAAGAGCGGACAGGAGGCTAATAAGGTAGGAAGGCAGTGAGCAAAGAGAAGAATACATGATAGGACCTGGAGGTCCCTAGTGACTGGACTGTGTAGGGTCTAGTAGGCCATGATAAGGCCTTTGGATTTCATTCTGAGTGTTTTGGAAACTTTTTGGATGGTTAGGCATTCACCTTATTTCAGCATAAAGTGTACATATAATACTAAATACTGTTGGAAGTTTTTTTTTTAATTATTAATTCTCAATTATAATACCTGGTTATTTAAAAAACACTGACAAGTAGACAAGTATGTCATGAAATTATTGTCATATGTTTAGAAAAGAATCAGTTGAATTGTATCATTAACGCTGTATCTACTTTATTATCTCTGTGTCAGACCTCTGCTCTACATGCCAAGTATTAAATGACACAATTAACAGTTTAATTGGAATCCTATTGTCCGATTCAGACTTCTGTAAGATATGCTGTAAAACTGACTCCACTGAATTGTTGCTAAGTTACCATGAATTCAACACTTTTTAAGATCAGAGTTGTAAACGTTAATTATTTTATAATGGACAAGAAATATCTTTGTATATTTATCTTTATAACTCATGGTGTGGAAATCGAAACACATACCCTAACACATGATAGTCAACCTGCCTCTTCTGAGTGTTTTAAGATGCATCACACCCTTCAGGTGAGAACATCACATCTGTGATCCTTATGTGAACTCTCTTCGAAAAGTGCTTACAGTTGATTCAAAAAGAGTATTACTTTTTGGAAGATTCATATATTGTCCAGTTGTAGGCAAAGTAGGCACAGGGTGCTATACATTTCATTTTTTAAAAATGGGATATCAAAGCTATACATTTCATTCTTTAAAAATGGGATATCTGAATCACCTTCAGGGTGGCCCTGAAGAATGCTCTCTTCTGTTATTCACAAAACACACAAGCTGAGAAATGGCCCACATAACATCTCCATTTCTACCCAAGAAAGACAGTGACTTTTTTTCCTGCTTCCCAGGGAGCCACCATTAGTTGCTTAAAGCCAGGTTAGGCAAGGAGAGCCCCCATTCAGAGCAGGGTCTGTTTGCAGTGCTATATCAACTGCTACTATCGTGATTGTCTGCAAGTTCATTTCTATATTTCTATGCATGTAAATATATACAAAGAATTTTAGAAATTTGAAGATTAAGCAACTGATTTTAGAACATGAAGTGTCTGTGTATGTGATTACCAAATTTATAATGGCATTTACAAATATACAAATTTTTGGCATCTGTAATGCCAAAAACATTTAACAATATTCTAATTCTGCTTCTCTGATAGTTTGTGAATGCAATTTTTATTACTCTATATGTTCTTATGTCTCAGAAGAAACAGTTCAGATATTAAAGGTTCAAGTTTCTAAGCTATTGATTTTGCCTACCAGCAGGAGGTATGCATCTGTCTGAATGTGCCTTTCCTTCTGGGGCCCTGAACTGTATGCCTTCGAGTCTTTTTGAAATGAAAATAATAACCATAATAGTGTCTAATAATAACAAGCCAATTATCCCCAACTCAGGGAGGACAGAGGGCAGGTAAGTGATGATCTACTGGGTGTGTATATCTGCAGAGAACTGAAATACAAGTAAGTAAATTTTCTCTCCTTGCAAGATACCTGTAACAGATCTCTGTGGAGATGAAGGCTCTAGGGATGTATTTCTAAAACAATATTAACTAAATATAGAAGAAAAAAACCCCAACAACCACAGTAGAAGTAAGGGCAAGTCTGACACTAACAACATAAGAACGCAGTAGGAAGAAAAAAACCACCTTGCTTTTTTGGATGTAGAGGATGGACTCGGCCTTTGGTGCTGTAGGTTTTGGAACAGCCAGTCAGTGTACTGCTGTTTCATCAATCATCATGGAGCACATATAACATTTATGTCATTTTCTGAGAAAAACACTCAATAAATAAAAAAACTCTCAGGCAACTGGGAAAATATCTGAAATCCTAAAAACTGTTAACGAATTAAAACTTCTAATTCTACCAATACTACAACTGTTGCTGCATCTACTTTGAGAACACTGTGATAATGCATTTCAAATCCTCCCAGGAAAACTTAATTTCTCGTCAACACATTTCTCATTAACACTCAGATCTAAATCTAGCACTGGCTTCACTGATGCATACCAGTGGGTCACAGAGCCAGGCAACACCTTAATAATGTGCTCCTAGAATTATGTGGGCTAAAAGTATTAAATATATGAGAGGCAGAACTGTGGAATTGTACAACTACAAAAACAAAAACCAAACAACAGCAAAAAACTGGCTGGCTTTCTTTCATTGCATTTGACCCTTGGGTAGACATTAGACAGCAATTTTCAGGATGTTAGGAGAATGTAACTCTTAATGAAACAGGTAATGTAGATCTATATGTTTACTTCAGTTTAAGAAATGCGAATTTGGACCAAATCAATGGAGAAAGAAAAAAGTCACTTAAAATAAAACCAAAGGAACTACCATCAAAATTAAAAGACCTCTGATTTCATCATGATAACCAATGGTGGTAACAATATGTTATATAGTCTGGGTTCACTGAGTTTACAAGTACTATTAGTTCCTAAATTGTGTTATTCATAGTCTCTCCTTCCTCACAACTAGCTTTGGACACACCACTGATGTTAAGATGATGACTATCATGTAGCCACTGATACAGTCGGGCAAATGTCCTGTGGCCACCACTTTCTGGTATGTTCATGGCTGCACAGAATCTACACTAGATACTGCCTATACTTTACAGCAGATATTAATCTTAGGGCCAAATCAGTGTGGCAGTTTTATCTAAAGAAGCTCAAAACTGAACTCTCACCACAAGAAACGATACCAGATTTAAAAATAAAATTTACCCAACTTATGAAAGAGAATTCCACCTGCCAGTTCTATCCTACATATATGGTAGAAACACTGACCTACAAAGGTCATAAATGCTGGTTTTAATCTTTGTGGCAGTTATAGTCAACAGCTCATCCCAGCATTTGATGTATGTCATGTAATCAGAAAGCTCTTTTCTTCTGGGTGCTTCTATGTCTACAAAAATACATGTTTCTGTCTATACTATTATAGTCAAAAAGTGATTTATTAATAAGCTGTGTTACTAATAGATTATTGGCTATCATTAGAATCACCAGGAGAGCTTTCTGAAAAAATTCCTGATCACCTCCATTTCTAATTGCTATCTCTTAACCACCAAGATTTTGATTTAGTAGGTCTTGGGAGCCACCTAGGATTTTTTCTGTTTTTTACATTAATTCTGATGTGCAGCCAGGTTTGAAAACAGTTGCAACTGATAAAATTAAGAAGTTAAATAGATAGTTTGGGGCATGCATCAGAATAAACTGAAGTACTTTTTAAAATATGACTTGCTGGGCCTTACCTCTACAGGTTCTGATACGGTAGATTTGGAGGAGGTGCTAAGAATTTGTATTTCTAACATGTTTCCAATTGATAATGATGCTACTGGTTTAGGGACCACATTCTGAACATCACTAAACTAGAGAACAAAAAGGAGACTAGTGTTAGGCCTCAAGAAAGTAGCCTAAATAATGTATGTTGCAAGAGGGAGGACAGTAGCCCTTTTCTGATTACTGCTGAACACATTTTCTAGACTGGAATCTCAGATGTTCCCATCTGAGAACATCTAGGGCTTTGAGCAAGAGATTTCTTTTCCTAGAAGAAAGTTTGTTTCCCTAAGTTTCTTGGTACACTTCTATGATGTTGTAATCACTGAGTTGAGTTGAAGGTAGTTATAACAGGGAGTTTCCACAAGCTAAAGTCCTTGCTCATTTCTTTTCTTTTGTCAGAGAAGCATACACATACACATACACATACATATTTGCAGAATATGAAAAAGAAAGCTTAGGAAAAACCTAGATGATACCTGTAGAAAGACCATTTTAGCAGAAATTGCCTGGCGGCTTTAGGAAAACTGGGTCTTCCTTCATAGGGTTTTAGTGCTTGCATCATCACATTGTCAAGCCATGCAGCCCACTGCTCCAGGGTGCTCTGCTGCTGAAGAGTCATCTTGAAGTCTGTTTCTAGTCTCTGAACCATGTTGTCATCACACTGGCACACCCAGGAAGCCTGCTCCTGAGACAGTAACATGGAAAGCAAAGGAAAAGTTCAACTCAGCATCCTTTAATTGAATGTCAGCACACACACTAGATGCAAGAACAGAAAATTATAATAAAAGCTTCAAACAGTTAAATGAATCCAGAAAATAAACAATGACTTGTCAATTATTAAGGTAACACAATCCATCAGTTTTAAGGGATGAATTTATTTCCTTGCGCACTCTGGTACATAAAAAAGTGATGTCACATATAAGTATGACTTGGTTTTTCTACATTAACTAGTCTGTGTAAAAGACTAAAATACATGATTACTTCAAAAAACAGAAGTCTGAACCTACAGTAGGCAGGGTTTTTCATTCCATTCAGCTTTCAAAAGTTATGTTTTTGTTCCCCATCAGATAAAACTTTAAAACCAATTCATTTAAGAAGATTTAGGGTAAGTCAGACAGACAAATAGACAGAATTGGCCAAAAGTGGTCCCCTCAAGATTAAAACAGAAATAAACACTGAATGGTACTAGGTAGAAGCATACACTGTTAAGAGTTTTATGGATTGGGAACAGAAATCTCAAGGGCTATCAAGGCAAGGCTATGAATGCAAATTAATTCAGAGAGCTGAAAACAACAATAACAACAACAACAAAAACTCTTTGGAGAAAATGTAGATATGCTTCCTGCCAAAAAATGTGCTTATTGCAATTTTCCTTCTGGTTCTGGGTGGGAAATTTCATGTTTGGTAACAGCAATGAAAATAGGAACTTTTAAGGCTACTTTTCAGTGGTTGCTGTAAGCTTTGTAATGTTTCTAGTGCTATGTTGTATTTTGAGATTTAAAAAAACCTATTCACTCAAGGAAAAACATAATTCTTTGGTAATGTAATATTTAACTAGGAATGAGAAGACATGGACTTTAGGTCTTTAATTAATGAAACTGACCTCAAGCAATTAATTTATGTGGGCCTCAGTTTCCCTAAGCATAAAATTAGAGAAATAAAATTTAATGAAAAATTTTAAGCTATGTTCATTAAGTCCAGATAATTTTGTCAAGATAGATGTCTTTGGAGAAGTGTCTTTGAGGCTCATACACACACACACACACACACACACACACACACACACACGTACATATATATATGAATTTTTCTCAAAAGAGTGTCTATAGCATTTTCCTATATGCTCTCAAAAAATAAGTTCATTCAAATTGACAACTTCAACTGAATAAATTCGTTATCTCCATCCTCTAGTTCCAGTATCTCTCCCGATCCTACAGACTTTACCTATTTGAGGGAATTTCAAACTTGAGGCACTTCAAATGCAAAATGCCCCAAACTCAACTTATTTTATTTTCCCAGGGAAGCATACTGTTTCTTCTACATCGCAGCTGATGATACTATTCACTCTCTTTTTTTCTCTTATCTAATTAGTCATAAATCCTTTCAGATGTTACCTTCTAAATACCACTTTTAAATATTTTAAGTATACTGAAATATAATTATAAAAAATGTAAATATGAATAAGCAAAAAGGAACAAAATATTAAGAATACTTAAAATGACAACAGTAAGAGATTATAACATATTGATGTATGTACCTTTCAGACTTTCCACATGCATACATAAATATATCTATGCATATATTATCATATATACATATACTATATTATTTATGCATACGTTAATATTTTAAATTTGTATTTGTATTATAAAACACTTATTCAAATATTTATACATGTTTTATATTCTTATATGCTTATACATACTTAAATGTTTAAAATAAGAGGATCATATTATATTTTCTATTAGCTATTCTGCTTAGTTTCACTTAGTAATATATAATAACCATCTTTCCATGTAGGCAAATTAGACCTATATTTATTGTCCACTGAATGAATTTGTTTTATTGCATAATATACCATTATTTATATAATCAATCCCACATAGTTAGACATTTGTTTGTTCCAACATTTTAGTATTATAAATAAAGCTGTAATTAGTAGGATAGGTGTTTTTGTTTGTTTGCACATTGATAATTGGAAGGAGAAACTTACCAGTATTCATGAAGGAAATTAATTTCATTTTTTACCATAAATTCAAGCTCACTATTTACTTGGCAGTTAGTTTTTGCCAAGAAAAGATAATTTAAAACCAAACTTAGAGAAATAAAACCACAGCACATTATTCTGGCTTTTCAAAGTACTTTATATTATACTTCCTTTTACTACTCTCTAAAGTGAAAATATACTAACAATAGATCACATTGTAAATATTCCCTTGTGAAACAAATATAGGCATTTCAAGTCTATACTTGAAAAAGCTAAGGACAGTTAGAGGTTTTCTTAACTTAGAAAAAATATATATCCAAAATGAAAAGCAGTCATGAGTTTCAAAATCAGAATGCCTTTTAAATACAGAAACACAAGTATGTGCAATAGCTAAGTTATCAGCTCAGTTCACCCAAACCTATTTAGCCCATAATGTAGATTTCAAAGCCTACCCATTTACACACAGAAAAATTAGAGAATGATACCATTGTAATACTATCAATTAAATGAAACAGGAAACCAATGATCCTGCAATAGAAAAATTATCTTAAACGCATAAAGAAAAGAAAATTTAATTAGAGGAGAATAAAGTAGTAAAAAGTGATATATGGATATCCTGAAAAGAACTTTTGGTACTTTCAAGCTCTTAGTGTATTATAATATTGACACATGTAATTTCATTGTTTTAAATAGAAGTCTCCTTATTACAAGAGTGTCATTCTTATATTGTCAGATTATTGAGGTTCATGTTACAGGAGTTGGGATGACTTCCAAATGAACTGAAGATGGGGATAATGGTGAAATGGGAGGCAAGGACTCTTGGAAAATCTGGCAAAACTAGGAAAAGAAAAGGAAAGAAACAAGGGTATTAAAGATGAAAATGCTTAACTTGAGAAAGAGATTACTCATTAAAATGTACAGAGGTGTGAAAAGTAAAATGTAGGGGGAAATGAAAGGCTCACTATTGCGTCATGGTACTCTGAAGAAAGGAAGAAGGTTTTGGAGGGCAGATGCTGAATCATACTGGTTTCAGCAACAACGACTATCATGGTAGACCCAGAAAAACATGACACTCAAAAACAGAGGAAAAGAAAGGGTATTCTCAAAGTTGGTGGGCAGAGGGTAAGCAGTCTAGTAGATACATCACTAATCATTAATATGCAAAGATTTATCAAGATTAATTCTTATAACAAGGGAAGAACTCATTTGTAGAAATACTTCATTGAACTGCAGATACTCAAATACTTATGTGTATTTATACATATAACAATGCTAACAGAACACTGAAAACCTTTTTCAGATATTAGAAATAATTCTTTAAAATGTGTTCTGTTATTGAGCTTAAATTACTTTTGAAACTAGAAGTTGCCTTACGTCTTCAACTTCTCTTAAGATACTTTTAAACTTTTTTATACTCTTAAATCTTTCCTGCAAAAAGATTTGAAATAGATATTACAGTATAGATTTTAAGGCAATATAAACTTTCAATACTCTTGCTTATTTAATTAATGTAAATTACATTGAAATATATAAAGTAAATGGTTTTGTAAAGCTGAGAAAGTTTGTTCCAGTAAAGAACATATTTGTACGTGTGTATGTGTTTTTGTAGATGGATACAGATTTTTTAAGAACTTTATATAACAATTTAAAGATAGATAGGTAGGTAGGTAGGTAGATAGATAGAAGTTTGAACCCAATCCATGAAAATCACAATGAACAACTAATTTATTATACTCTAGAATAGATCAAGCCCAAATATTACTTTTTGGTATATTTTAAATGATAAAAATAGGTAAGAAGTAGAAATTAAAATATCTAGAAAATAAAATAATAATTAGTTTACTTTTAAACAATGGTATCGTTTTTTTAACAGCCTTATTAAGATGTAATTCACATATTATACAATCCATTCATCTAAAGTATGCCATTCAAAGGCTTCTTTTAGTATATTCACAAAGTTGTACATCACTCACCACAATCAATTTTAGACCTTTTCATTTTTCTCAAAAATTAACCCCATGCCTCTTATTTGTTACCTCCAAATCTTCTCAATCCCCCAGCCCCAGGCAACCACCAATCTACCTTCTGTCTGTACAGATTTATCTATTCCTGAATTTCATATGAACAGAATCATGCAATGTATAGTCCTTTGTACCTGGGTTCTTTCACTTTAGCTTAATGTTTCCAAGATTCATCTATGTTGCAGAATGAATCAAAACTTCATTTCTTTTTATTGCCCAATAATATTCCACTGTATGGATAGATCACATTTTGTTGGTTAATCAGTAATGCACATTTGGGTTGTTTCTGTTTTTATGTGGCTGATACAGTGCTGCTATGAACATCTATATATAAGTTTTGTGTGGACATGTTTTCTTTTCTCTTGAGTATATAACAAGGAGTTGAATTGCTGAATCATATGATAACTCCATGCTTATCTTTTTGACAAATTGCCACACTGTTTTCCTAAGTGGCTACAGGATTTTATATTCTGAACAGCAGCGTATGAGTTTCCAATTTTTTCACATCCTCACCAATGGGATATATTATTATATGTCTTTTTGCTTAGACCCATTTTAGAGTATATGAAATGGTACTTCACTGTGGTTTTGACTTGTATTTCCCTGATGGCTAATGACATTGAGTATCTTTTAATGTGCTTATTGGCCATTTGTGTGTTTTCTTTGGGGAAACATCTATCTACTCAGATGTCTGTCCATACTTAATCAGGTTGCCTTTTACTACTGGGTTGTAATAGTTCTCTATATATTCTATATCCAAGTCCTTTATGATATATGATTTGCAAAACTCTTCTCACATTCTTGGGGTTGTCATTTCACATTCTTGATGGTCTCTTTAGAAACTCAAAAGTTTTAAATTTTGATTATGTACAGTTTATGTAGTTCTCCTTTTGTTGCTTATGCTTTTGGTGGACAATGTTATTGTTTATATATGGCAACATTTAGATTCATTACTTTAGTATTGGAAATAAAATATTGATATTGAAATTCTATAATGTTTCTAACTTAGCTTTCAAAGTGTACTTTAAAGCACAAGTGGGTAACATGATCACAAGGTTAAAAAATACTTTTTCATTGAACTATTACAATAGCTGAACTTACTGCACATAATCCTTTTCAAGTGAATAAATATTTACTAGGCATCTATAGTAAACTTTGAAATAGAATTGTTCTTAGGCCAGGCGTGGTGGCTCACGCCTGTAATCCTAGTACTTTGGGAGGCCAAGGCGGGTGGATCACCCGAGGTCGGGAATTCAAGACCAGCCTGGCCATCATGGTGAAACCCCACCCTTTAAATAAATAAATAAATGAAATAGAATTGTTCTTAATTTTTCAAGGAGGGGCACTAACTTAGAAATATCTCTGCATGTCATGGTACATATTATTAATACATAAACAATAATCTAAGATAGGTGCTATATGGTGGGGAAAGTGAAGCCACAGTAGTTAAGTAACCTGCCCAAGATCTCACAGCTTATAGATGAAAGAGTTTAATTTCTTGCCTGTCTATCTTTAATGACTGTGACCTTTATTATTCCACTAACTATTCAGCAAGCCGTGGTGATACATTATGTTGTCTTTTAGAACTGTAAATGTGAGCAGACTTTAACCACAAACATGGGAGCAGTATAGCTGTATCTGGGTCAAGCTCCTCTCTTTCAGGACACTGTGAATATAGATGCTGCCTGTGTATAGATGAGACTTTGAAAACAAATTTTGGGGATTCTAATTAAGAAGAACAAATTGGGTATCTTTCCTTAAGAGACATACTTCACAAGAAAACAGAGTACCTGGACATTGGCAAAGTCGACACGGTTGAGGTCATTGAGCATCTGGTTGATTTGGGAAGTGTTCTGAAGCACTGCACGAGCTGCCTGGGCCAGGTGATTGAGCGATGTGTATCTTCGCAGAGTCTGGGCAAAGGCACTTACAGCGGCAACCTGTAAAGCAATCCAATTAAGTTGGGATTCTGTTTTCTCCAGTAAAAGAAACAACTGCAGTCTTCGAATCTTTTTTCCCCTGCCAAATTTTAAATGTTTGCCCCTGATACTTATTTAAAATTCATTTGGTGAGAGAGTTTAATTGTAAATTATAGCATTTAAATCTCTAAAGCAAGTATTATTTTTCTTTTTAGTAGGTTGAGGTCAAGACTAAAACAAAATCCCCCATTCTTTGATGTCTGAGTGTAGCATTAATTAAACCAGCCTTAGGCCGGGCGCGGTGGCTCATGCCTGTAATCCCAGCACTTTGGGAGGCTGAGACGGGTGGATCACCAGGTCCAGAGATCAAGACCATCCTGGCCAACATAGTGAAACCTCGTCTCTACTAAAATACAAAAATTAGCTGGATGTGGTAGCGCGCGCCTGTAGTCCCACAGCTACTTGGGAGACTGAGGCAGGAGAATTGCTTGAACCCAGGAGGCAGAGGTTGCACTGAGCTGAGATCGTGCCACTGCACTCCAGCCTGGCACCTGGTGACAGAGTGAGACTCTATCTCAAAAAAGAAAAAATTAAACCAGTCTTGCAAGTAATTATTCATCCACAGTGAGAAATGACTTTGAGTAAGGAAGCAGGAAAAATGTTGGTTTTCATTTCTTTTTAACTGCTCTTTGGATAGTCAACTAGAAACTAGGCAAATTTTAAAAGTAGGGATGTACAGTTTGGTTTTTCAAATAAAAAGAGATCTGAACATTCCTACTCTTTAAATTGAATTTAAAATGCATGTCAGAGCATTACCATTCAGATGTATTCTTACCACCTTTATTTTGTAGAAACAAGTAAGTTTGAGGTGAAATTATCAGAAGCAAACAATTAGAAGAGGCGTTTTTTAGAATTAGAGTTTCTTTAAAAGGGCTATGCAGTAAATCTCTATTTGCCTCTCAAAATCTACTTTCCATTTTTCTTCATCTTGCTCTGTGCCCAGGAATATTGATCTGAATGGACCACATTAACCTCCCACCTTGTTCTCTGGCTTCCACCTGGGTTTGACCAATGACAGGCACTGGCAGGAGATGGAAGAATGGGAAGAAACAGTGGTCACTAGGGTACTTATTCTCTACAACCTCTGCTTGCTGCCTGTTTTAGCAGAGCCTGCCTTCCTTTTCTAATGTTACCACAGTCCTGAGGGAAAGAGTGCATCTCCTAATGCCACAGCTTTCACCTTTCACCCCTTCATTCCTAGGGATGGTTAGGATTCCCACTATTGCTAGCCCTGGGATGCTTTACTATTCCTCCTTGTTTTTTTTTTCAACTTTGTTCATACCTTTGAGATAAACTCTTCTTAAAGATTCTTAGATTATCCCTACCTTTGGATGCATGATTTGTTTCCTGTTCAGATCCTGAGTATAGCAGTTATGTTGAAAGATAGCAAATATAATGCAAAAACATTCTAGATAAAATCTAAATCTCATAATCTCAAGAAAATTTGTTATGTGCACAATATAGATCTAATGATTTTAACCTTTAAAAAATATATTTAAAATCTGACATATTTATAGGGATGTATAGTATTGTACTCAATCACTATATGGGTATGTAAGGTGCAAGCAGTTGAATGATCAGTTGGGACTGGTAGAGGCTGTTCACAGGGAACAGGACGCTGTATCTTGACAGTGAGATGTTTGAGTACTATTCGTAACTCAGGGGAAGCTCACATACCCTCACAAAAGAATCTTATTCCATTTTTGCGGTTTAAATTAATCCAGTATATACTATGTGCCAGGCTCTGGGTTAAGTGTCTTACATATATTATCTTATTCAAGTCTCATAACTATCCTATTAGACATATATTAAGATTTAAAGAAGTAGCTTGCTCAAGGTTGCAAAGAAGCTCCATTAGTGATGGGAACTAACCCAGGCATTTTGATTCCAAAAGCCATAGTAGCTGGAATGCTGTCTCCTGTGTCAGGGTAAATTGTCTCCATTAATTGAATGTGGAGCAGAAAAAAAGACTACATATCAGTGAAACCAGAAGATATGGCACCCTCTACTGTAATGAATCATTGAAGCCAACTCTGGAGGTCACTGAGATGGCCAGTGTTGCAACTGGATTGTTACCACATTCACTTTGACAATACCAGGAAGGGAAGTGCTTTAGCTGTTTGAGATACTGTTACAAATGTGACTGACAGAAAGTTGAAAAGGATTTCTCAATCATAATAAAAAACAATCTTCTTTTTTGCACACCTCAATGTGGTACTCTACAACAGCACTGCCAAAGAGAACTCTCTGCAGTGATGGACATGCTCTACATATATGCCAAAGGAGGCTACTGAGCACTCGAAATGTAGCTAACGTGACTGAGGAACTAAATTTTCCATTTCACTTAATTTAAAATTCCAATTTAAATAGCTACACGAGGCTGGCCCTAGCAGATAGCCACATGTGGCTGGCCCTACTGTGACAGCACAGCTCTAGAGGAGCAATCTAATGTAGGCACATCAATGAAATGTTGCCTTCTATATGTTTTGGAGAGTTTTATTGCAAACTTTAAGTCCCAGCAAAAGAACTGGAGGCTACTTATGTTCCCACAGAGGTTTATCAGCTAAAATAACTTCAAGATTCAAGGACAAGGTATATTGTTGGAGTCTGATAGTAAATACAGTCATTGACAAGAAGCCACAAATGTGATTTCTGGTACCAACATTTAAATAAAATTTAGAATTTGTCCAATCTTGCTATGGGAATGTGTTCACAGATAAACTGAAAGTAACATGGCTGATAGAAGACAAAGTACAGACTAATATTTACATCTCTAGCTAAATAATCCACATTCCTGAGATATATTGATTGTGAGTTAATTATTTACTTGATTCATAAAAGCATTCTCCAGTGTTTAAAAAAAACCCCAAAACATCCTGAAAAAGCAGAAGAATATTAATTTATGTGAACTTTTCTGCACAAGTACAGGAGGAAATTTTAGAAAATAGAAAATTCCTTCAAATGGAAACTATTTGAATATTCTAGGCTATTACTTTAATATTTAAAATTAAACATTTATGGTTTATATGCTTCTTGTATAGTTTAGAATATATATATATGTGTGTGTGTGTATACATATATATATATATATATATATATATATATATATGTATAGTTTAGAAAGATCTTGTAAATACACCACACTTAAGAAGCTTCTCTAGTCTCTTTGAAAGGAACATTGTCAAACATCTCTTGTGCAAGTTCATTACATGGTTATAAAATACAAATATAAAAATCAGTTTTAAAAGATGATGTATATTATAACCTCAACATTTTATATAATGCCATTTGATAGGGTAGATGTAAAGTTCACGGTTCAGAATAATTTCCTAAACACAAAAGAAAAAGCAAGGACATAAAATATACCTTGGTTTGTATCATTCTCTGTGGAATATTGTTCATGGCATTGGAAAGCCAACCTTCAAGGCTTTTTGCAAAATTTCGAATGGCTTGGGTCAAGGCACCTAAACATTAAAGAATAAAAGCAGAATGAAAAGGTATGAAATAATATTAATCTTTACGCTAGAATAAAATAAAATGCTTGTACGCAATATCTGTTAAAGCACAGAACTCGTATTGACCTCACTGATGACACTTTAACATTATTTCTAACTTTTTAAAGCATCCAAGAATTATATATTGGGCTTTTTCTTTTAAAGTTATTTTGTTCCCAGATACTTATGACACTATTTTGGGAAAAAAAAAAGGATACAAACATTTTTGCTTACAGCAACATATACCAGTTGTGAATATACTTATAGAATTTTCTTGCTTGAAAAAAGCATTCCTTTCATTAACAGTTTTGTGCTAAAGGCTATGTATTTTCTTAGAAATTCTTTATCTTGTTTTTTCAAGCTCTTAGTCTATTTTCATTTCTTTTATTAAAAAGAAAAATAATGCAAAGCTTTCTCTCTTTATGTAACTATTTACTTAAAAATCTACAAATTGTAGTAATTCATTGTTGAAAAGGTAAAAATTAAAATTGTCTGAATTGAAATTTTTTATAACTATTTTCCATTTCACTTGGCAGGTAGAGATAAAAGATCAGTAGGATAAAATTGCAGTCACAGAAACCCATATTCTTAAGATATTCCTAAAATAGTTCATTCTGTATTCTTGATGTATCTGTTAAAACCTGAAATAGGGATAGGTCCCATGACAGAAGATTTTATGATGGTCATAAAATGATTAGAAGCATCTTCAGTTATCAGTGATGACTATGACTATTTTATTAGAAAAAATCTGCTTATTGAGATTGCTATATATTAGAGACAGAACACTTTTCTTGTTCAACACGTAATTCAGTTAATAGTATTTTACTTCTTGTGCCTAAGGCTCCACAGTAGTGTAGACAACAATTTTAGATATTTAGTAGATAAGTGTCTGATGCACCCACAACACAAAATTAATCTTTCTAGCTTCTCTATAATGGGGTATCAAAATATGCTGTCTACTATAAGAAACACAGCCCCAAGAATATTAATGTTACTAATAGGCTTAAATTCCTTGGTTTTTCTTTCTGTGCGCAAATGAGTCTGACGTGATTCTCTATGACTTCTGTTAAGAGTAGGTGTTAGAAATAATTTCACTTATTCATGTTATTTGCAAGCAATATAAATTTTACTATTCCAATAATAAAGACAACTAAATGCGTTTTTAAGAGATTTCTTTAACTATTCAAAACTGGAGAGACAAGATTGGAATGGGTTAAATTTTGGCTAGGAAAAACACTAAAGCAGTGCAGATCCTTAACCACGAGGATCACCTACTGGAAACACTGAATTTGAAATTTCTTGAGAATTAATCTCTTGAAACCTCCAAAGCTTCCCACTTTAGCCAAACAAAAAGGAAAAAGAAAGAAAAATATTTTTCTGTTGTATCATGTGCTAGAACCATGGAGGGCAGGCATGAATGAAAATGAAAAAGAGTGAAAAAAAATTTGTTCAAGGTTAATTTTGGCAATCTGCATTTTCCATTTTTCCTACAAGGAGTGTACAATTACTTAATCTGAAAAGTAACCCCCAAATCTATAAATGTTAGTTTAAAAATATTTATTATGGACCTTGTTTTATCTTGATAAATTTAATGTAAGGAAAATTAGATAAGAAAATATATATTTTGCATTTTAAATAATTGTTGAGTTTTTATTTTTTTCTACTAAATCACATTCTGGGCCACCTTTGGTTATACCTGTAATTGCACATTTAAGTGTTGCCCCTTGAGTGTTCATACAATTAATATTTTTTTCTTTTTCAGATAAATGTATTTTAGAATATAGTAGCTTCAAGCTGACTTTAAATTAGTGTGATGTGCAGACTTTTTTTAGCTAAAAAAAGAAATCCCATCTGGACAGAAAATGGTAGAGTGAAGTGCTAGTAGCCAGGAAAATACAATTTTTAAAAATAAAATTAAGTTCACTCTCTCTATAGGGATTCTTGTATGTACAAAATTGTGCAGATTGACAACTTTCAAAGGCACATGAATGGATGGTTTGGAATTTAAATTCTATTCTAAAGCTGATCTGTCTCAACCTGCTCAAGATTAATATTAAAGTGCATACAAACAGAAGATAGCTATGTAAATTGTATTTTAAGCTTTATTTTGTTATACCTCATTGTAGAACGGGAATTAAATTTCTAAATTTCCCTGGTAGAGTGGTATATCAATCAATGCATCTTATAATTTCAGAGAAACTATAAAACTATTCAGGTGTCGGCTGAATGTAGAGACAAGCTCTTTGACAGAATAAAAAGGTTTTCAAATAAAAATTTGCAAAAGACAAAGGTCAGTGTATTGTGTACTTAAAATTACGGGCTTAAATCAAACTAAAATTGATACAAGATTTAAATGAGGGAACTGTTAAATTCACAAGTTAAAGTCTTATGATGCTGTTATAGAAGCAAAAGATTTTAGAACTGTTTAATGAATACTGATGTTGATTTGCCTTAAAAAAGGAAATACCTGCTGACATCCCTTCTTTTATCTCATGAGAAAAATTTTATGTTGGTAACAAGATGTCATAGGCTAATGAGCTACCCTATGCAACTCCTTATAAACATCTGTAGAGATTATCACTCAGAGCACAGGAAGCAAGAGAAAAACAAGGAAAATCCAATTCTGGAACATAAATCGGTAGAGAATTTAGCTAGTGAAACTTTCCAAAAAATCACTTTTAATCAACCTTTAATCAGGAAACTTGGTGTAGATAGAGTAGAATATATTAGCAATTTACAAAATTTTGAGATAATGTCAACTAATTTTTTTTACTTATTCCTACATAAATTTATGTGTGTTCATTAATATTATATGGAAATATGTTTGAGCATATATTTTAAGGTGGTCAGGAACATATTAAAGATCTCATACCTTCTACTGTTGTCTTTTATTATTTAGAAAAAAGTGTAAGCATACAAATGTTAATATCTTCCCCTTTTGTTCTACTAAATTCTTATTTTCGTATTTTCTAGAATAACACAAATCATCTGTGAAGAGTATACTTTACGTACACGTACACGGTAGCCAATTTCACAAGCTATATGCTTGCTTTTACTTTATTAATGTCAACATAGAATAGAAACTGCCACATTTCTTAAAAAGTTAAGGTCACTAGTGTGTACTTATATAGATGTAGGTATAAAATAGTTTCAGCTGCCTTTAACAGTATCTGTGGTGGCGTTTATATAGATACTTGCAGAAAATAGCTTTGTTTGCTACAAAGTAGTTTAAAAAGCACCATCACTTAAAAAGGTAATCTAACCTATCTATGTAATTCCCATTTTATTTTCTTCATAGTGGGACTACAATGCTTGTGTAGTTACAAAGATTTTTCTCTCAAAATGCCGGTTAACCATTACTGTTAACGGAAACTGCATTTGTAGTTCTTAACATGATGTAGGTGACAAAGTAAATGCTGTTATAATGGAATTCAACTTCACTGGAACTCAAGATAGATTCACTTCAAATCAAAAGCAACCATGAAGGAAACTGGCCTTGCAATTACAGATTTCCATAATTTTTGTCTTTATGAAGGGGACTCTGTCCTTGGGTAGAATAATTTTTACATGGTTGACTGGCCTTGTAGTGTTCTTGCAATTAGTCTACTGGGCTGCTATATCTACAGGTTGGCTTTTATATACATATAAAAGACAGATAATAACTGAAAAATAGATAATCTTTCCCCTTTTAGTACAGTTTTGCTTTAGGCTGCTTTTAAGCAATATTCTGTGCTGCATGTTTTCTATCTGGCAAATCTAAATGAAATTAGAATCATTCTAGATTGCAATGTCACTTCTCAAAACTTCCTGGGTGGAATGTATGAGAATAAAAGCATCCATACTCGTCTGCATTTAACTTACTAGGAATAGGTCTAAGGACGTCGGGGATGAGAATCTCCACCAAAGCCTGGTACATCCCATGGTCACAGTTACACATCCATTTCAGGATAGACTCATGTTTGCACAGAGTTATCAGCTTTGCTTTCGGAAGTCGACTTTCTATTTCACTCAGATTGCTGGTGTGAATAAATGTAGCAAATGAATAGATGGCAAATGAGGATAAAAAAGAAAATGGACTTTAAAAATCGTTTAAGTTTACCAAATATTACTGAGGTTAGAACTATACCACCATTGCACTGGTGCCATACAGCTGGATATATAGATAGATAGATAGATAGATAAAACACTCCCCCAGAGCTGTCTATGCACATTCATATTTTCTGACAGTATGAAGGGTAGATATGATAGTAATTCCATGAGGATGAAATAACTGTACCACAGTCCCCCAAATCAATACAAATGGGAGCTATATATACAGACTGAAATCTCAAGAGAGCAGTTCGTGGCTTATTTCCAGGATGGTCAAAACATCAATCTATTCACTTAACGTTATCAAGAAAGGTTCACAACTGGTATACATATCTCTAATTGATTAGCTGTGACATCTACTCAGCCTTGAAAATGAATTGGAAAAGATGTTGATTCTGACCTCGATTCGGTAATGGTAGTGCCATCAGTTGGAGTAGAGGGAGAATAGCGCCAGAATGTTTGCCACAATTTTTCTATCAGGCTAAACTGAAGATTCACAACAACATCCAATATTGCCTAAAAAACAAAATGGTATCAGTATTACCTTACAATATTACTTATGGGACTGTGTGAGGACAGCCTAATATGACACAAGTTTTCCCATGTGCTCGTAAGTTAACATGGTGAAACGACACTAAATTTTACCAAAGGAAGTGGAAGAAACAACAGCAACAACAAAAACTAGCTAGGAAGAAGATGAAAGGGGGGAAAACTCTTGTTAAGCAGGATGAGATTCTTCTCAAAACGGACTCATGCCACCCTCACTTCTACCTCTTTTTTCTTCCGTTTTTATTCTTGCTTTCCCTCCTCTCCAGTTTCTTTCTTTTTCAAATTCCTTTACCTACTACTTCCTTCTGACTTTATAGCTATCGTCACCCTACCTATTCTCAGACCTGGAAGGGGACAGAACATAGATTCAATTTACATCAGTCCTCTTTGGGCTAGGTAACCACTGACCACCAAAGAGGATGAAAGCGAAGGGTGTGGAGGTGCTTTTATGTGGCAGATGGAGTTACAGCTGAATTAGAATTAGCTTTGTCTAAGGCAGCTGACCAGGGGTTCCAGTGTGTTCCAAGCCAAACAGAGGACAGGGCAGAAACCATAGAGTCAGCAGGCTTTCAGTGGATACTGCCTCTCTGGGCATAGCATTCAACATTAGAGAATCCAATCCTATCTCTGCACACCTTCTTTAAAGAACAGCTTTAAGACTATCTTGCTTTTCAAATCTTGGCGGCCTCACCTCCTCTTTCTGCTTAATTTTATCTCCTAGAACTATTTCCCAGATGTATCAAAGACATTTTTATAGCGTTTAAATCTACCACTTTCCCTGTTAACTGTCAATAATGATATTTAATTTTACCCTGCCATTGCAATTAGTTTGTAAATAAGGTAAAAGCAGTCACAAAACCAAATAATAACTTGCTTGTGCCAAGAACACATGATTCTGCGATTATTTTGGGCATTAAAAGACAGACGTCGTTAACAGAATGTGATCCAGGTCATCAGCACTGAGGCAAAGGTAAAACATCCTCACAAAGATCTACAAAATTCATGGAAGATATAAGAAACCAGTGGACAATCTAAAGAGTCTATAAGAGTATTTTAGGCAAAAACAGCAAACCATAACTTTATATTTGTTAAGTTTGGGCTATCTGTATAAAGCTGGCCTAGGCATGATACAGAGAATAACTGATATAAAATATTCTCTAAGAATATAAAATGTTGCAAGTAGTTAAATATTGAAAATGAAGATAGGGAGACAAATTAATTAACACATTACTCAGTAACAATAAAAATGCAAAATATGGCCGGGTGTGGTGGCTCACGCCTGTAATCCCAGCACTCTGGGAGGCCCAGGTAGGCAGATCACGAGGTCAAGAGATAGAGACCATCCTGGCCAACATGGTGAAACCCTGTCTCTACTAAAAATACAAAAATTTGCTGGGCATGATGGTGTGCGCCTGTAGTCCCAGCTACTCAGGAGGCTGAGGCAGGAGAATTCCTTGAGCCTGGGAGGCGGAGGTTGCAGCGAGCCAAGATCATGCCACTGCACTCCAGCCTGGCGCCTGGCGATGGAACAAGACTCTGTCTCAAAAAAAAAAAGACAAACAAATAAAAAAAGCAGAATGCAAGCCTTGAAAAATAAAGGGTGTGTAGATGTCCCTCATCCAAGCAAAAATCAAAATCTTCTCAAACAGCAAATTTTTGTAACTACTTTCTTAATCGTAGCTTAGGCACAATCCAAGAGACATCTCTAAAAGTGTGATGGAACTATTAATATCTTCCACATAATACCTTACATACTTCTTTGTATGACATTGCTGTAAGAACACTATTCTTTTACTCTAAGTTAAAAGAAAATGTTTCAGCAACTTGTATAAAAAGTTATACTTGTTCCTTACATAACAAAACTAGTGATACTTACAAAAATATATTTGACAAACAAATTGTGAGAATTCCAAATAATACGCAAAGTGGGTATATTAATCTTTCTTTAAAAATATGTACTGTAGGAAATGTGAAATATAATTAGGCAAGTAAAGAATTTCAGTGTATCTTAAATTCAGTATCTCTTCAAATTGAATAATCTCAAATAACTCTTTTGAAAAAGACATTCATATCAGCTTCATTTGAGGCAGTTTTACACATGAATAAAACATTTTATCATTTGTCCACCTACTTTCAAATATGTTCAGACTAAAATATATAGGCAAATATAAATTAAAATAATGCATATCCTACAGGCTTAGGGCAAATGACTATTTACAGGACTAAACATGAGATTCAGGCAGCTGTATTTCAAAAGTTTTTCATATTTATTCAAAATGAATATTTATTAACAGGAAAAAATAATTATAATTTTTCTTTTTTATATATGCTGTTGAGCTCTATGAGAAAGATAGCATGAACACTGGTTATTCTGAAATAAATGGGGATCATTCTGTGGACCACCATTTTCCTCACAGACTATATGTCCCTATTTCTTCATATAAAGTATAATTATTTTTGAAAATGGTACGTTAATAAAATCTTATAATCCAAAGACTATTTCAATCTTATTTGGGGGAATCTGTCACTTAGAATAATCTTACTGTACATTTTGTAGCAGTGTAAAAAATTATGCTCCAACTTTTTGAATAAACATGAGAATTTTTTAAAAAATCCATCTTGGTCGGGCACGGTGGCTCATGCCTGTAATACCAGCACTTTGGGAGGTAGAGGTGGGTGGATCACTTGAAATCAGGAGTTCAAAAGCAGCCTCGCTAACATGGTGAAACCCTGTCTCTACTAAAAATATAGTAAGTTAGCAGGGCGTGACAGTGCACACCCACACCCTGCTGGGTAATCCCAGCTACTCGGGAGGCTGAGGCAGAATCAGTTGAACCCAGGAGGTAGAGGTTGCAGTGAGCTGAGACTGTGCTACTGCACTTCAGCCTGGGTGACAAAGTGAGACTCTGTCTAAAAAAAAAAAAAAAATACATATAGGCTGGTTTGGTTAAAGCAAAGTTCACTTGAACACACAGGAGTGAGAAATTGTTTAGAGAATCTTTATACAAATCTTTACTGAATAAGATGACAGATATAGAAAGAATTTTTTTTCTATATACATAAGGAAAATCTAGAAATTCTCTAACATGGGTAAAAGTATAGTAGTCAAAGGAAAATGAATATTAAGTGCTTTCATCATTCCAAGAAATGTTGAAGAACACATCTGGCACATGCTACGTTAATAAGGAGAGAACCTACCCTTGGTTGTTAATAATCTAGTACCCTTGACAAACACTCAGATATACTCTAGCAATTCTTATTTCTGGAGTGGGGGAAAATATCTGTTAATGCTATAAGACTTCTTAGTGCATACCGCATTGTCAGCAGTCAGGAGGACTGCCCAGGGAATCCAAAGGATCATCTTTTACCCCTAAGTAGATCACAAATATCCCTGGAATAAAGCTAATTGAATTCTAAATAGACTCTTCTTTCAAAAGGAGAAGCACTCAAGAAAACTCTTACTATAATCCATTATCCCATCCTCTAGTTACCAGGTGAGCTGTAGTACATTAATATGCTGGCATGGAGACAGCTCACCTTCTGGTCAATGAAGCCAACCTCTGATATGGCAGACTCAGAATGAGAGTAGGAGCAGGGTTAGAAAACACCAAAAGAAACCCTAATTAACCACAAAAGTGAAACAAACAAAACTGGAGCCTCAATGATCCATGGAAAGAACACCTAAGGTGCTTTATTAAACATTTCCAGAAATTATTTTTAATAGAAATATATACTTGTGATATAAAATGCAAAAGATAAAAAAGGTCTGTTGAAAAATGGAGTCTCTCTCCTCTAACTCTCCCAGTCACCCAGTTTCCTTCACAAAGGCAACCACTGTGAACATTTTCTTGTTCTTCCTTCTGGATACACACACACACACACACACACACACACACACACACACACACATTTTTTTTTTCTTCAAAAAACATTTATTGTCAGCAATAATGATAAATTAAATGGACAATGCAACAAGACAAGGTAACTACAGGGAGGGACAGCTTAAAATGGATACATTCTGGTTTCCTTAAAAAAACAAACAAAACCCCCAGTAACAACAAACTAGTTTTTAATACCTGTATACACACACACACACTTTTCACTCAAGTGAAAATATACATATTTTTCTGCATTTGCTTTTTCCTTTAACTTTAAATCTCGAAGTGATCCATTTTAGTATGTTTATAGAGTTGCCTACTCTTTTTGATGGCTGTATAGTATTCTACAGCCATCTCCCTATTAGATAAAGAAATTATAACCAATCTTTTGCATTAAAAATAATAATGCAACAAATTCCCTTGTACACTTGCCTTCCTACCCATATGTAAGTATTTTTGTAGGACAAATACCTAGAAGTGGAATTGCTGTATCAAAGGATTCATATTAAGATAGGCTTAATAAATAGAGAATAAAATTTATTCCCACTTTTCTGCATTCCTCATCTCTCCACTCTGAGACAAGAAAGAAGAAAAATGAATTTGTTAGTGCTAAAAGATATGCTCAAAAGAATTAGTGTTAAGTTCATCTCTCCTTTAGGAATAAGCTTGATTATTTTATTTTAGCAAGTTGTCTGGCAAAACCAAGCATGTGTTCATACTACATTTGAAAAGACTTACCTCACAGTGCTCTCGATAAAGACTCTGCAGTGACTTGATATCCTCAAAGGTAGTACCATCTGGCAAAGAAGAGATTTCAACTTCTCCAAACTCTGGAAGTGCTCGAGATGCATCTGTTACCATGACAACAGAACAGAAAAATGCTATTGTGGATGGTGCCAATTACAGATTAATGAGGAAAAATTTAAGAAGACCAAAAAGAAAAACAAATTTTAATGGTCAGAGGTCCAGAGAGCAAGGACTTTTTATATTAATATTTTACAAGCAAAATGTAGCACAATCATCAGCACAAAATATAAAAATAGAAGGAACACTCTTAAGAATTTTCTAGAAACAAAATTTGCACTACAATTATACTGCAAGTAGCATACTGCATATCACAGTGTCTCTCAACGCAAGGCCCCCATTAAATGAAAAATATCTCAAGCTTGCTAGTACCTATTTTAAATATTTTTATTATGTTACTTCATTACTAAAAAAATCTAGCTTTAAACCCATTATGTTCATAACTGTTATAGAGTCATAAACCAAAAGAACTACAAAGTAAATAGAAAGAAAACTACAAAAATAACATAAAACTTAATAACATTAATTTGATGTGATGGATGATGCTCCTGTCCTGTAACTAAGTTATCTTTTGCAAAAGGATCAGTATTGACTGCTGCAGCACAGGATCTTTTGGGTCTGGCAGGTCTATAACAACATGTGCTTTATGCTGGCTGCTTCTTCCATTACTTGTCTATGTACAAATGAATATGAAACTTTCCTCCACACAGAATACAGGGACATGATTTAGGCTTCCCTGGAGAGAGAGGCGTAATTTACATAGTAAGTCTCTCTCTGTTCTTTTCTTATTAGCTCTGGACAATTAATGTAAGACATTTTGGTGCCTGTCTTATCATAAATCCAGGTACAAATATGGACACTAAAATTGGAGAACAGTAGTTCTAGTTCTAGTTTTCTAGGTAATCCACAATATGCTTAGTTTTTAAGATGATAATTGAAATGAAATCACAAAATAAGATTCCTGTTGAATGACCAAGGGTACACAAAAAATAACCCGAGGACTTCAGTCTGAGAAATGCTGCTATGATGTTTTCAACTTTAGTAACTATTCCAACCTGAGAGTCTATTTTAGTTGTCTTTGTCAGAAAGTGCACATAAACACATATACACACACACAGACACATACACACAGTCACTCTCTGATAGCTTCTACTTATCTTGATCTGTTATATGGAAAATATGCATGTTCATCTCTAGAAGAGTTGTCAATTAAATTAAAGTGCCATTTTTGTTTTGCCCCTTTGGCCATGGCAAAAATATGCAAGTTCCTTTTCCTAACTCTTTCAATAACAAGAAACATGTAAACCATCTATAAATCATAAAAATAGAAAATGCTGTGATTAATTTAAAAGCATAAATTACTTTTTAAAAGTTTATAATAATTTTTTTTTTCTAATCTGAGCCTGTGGGTATGTAACTTTATACATAGGAAATGAGAATTCCTTTTGGCACTTGAAGTTACTACTGAAAGTAAAAAGCATAATTTTGACAATAAAAGCTGATTAATACAAATTCTGGAAAACAATTTCATAGCAATGAGTCTAATTCATATGCATAAAAGTCCTATATAGCTCAATATTCTTAAAAATAATCTCTAATAAACATGAAAGGCAAAGAGAAACTAGGACTATTATACATATGATGTGCATAATTTTGGCACCAAAAAAAAATCTTTCTATGTCATTGACATCTATAATAGACATTGCACTTGGAGAAAAGACTACCATTGTTCTCTTTTCAAAATCCTAGTAGCAACTAATATGCATTACACCTTAACATACCTAAAAACTGTTGATGATGTTGGCTTTGGGCAATTACAGTTTGCTCAACAGATGTGCCTGTCTGTTGACCACTTCCTGTGAAACCATCTGCAACCCCATCCACTTTCTGCATAGGCTTGTACCTAAAAATATTAGATGGAAAAAAACAAATAAACCAAATTATTCCTTGCTTTTTTGTACTACCCGAAACTCCCAAAGCATTCAATTTTATTCTATATTCTTTAATATCTCATGATGGTTGTAGGATTTTTTTTCCTTGATAGTTTCATAAAGTTAGGATGCAGATTTTTTTTCAATCATTAAAAGAAAGAAGGGGTTGAAGGGGTGCATGAAGGGGGCCCATTTATGGAAATCCAGAAATTTACCTAAGAATGAAAGAATTATAAGGTATTTCTTTGGACAGCAGCAGCAAAGATGTCCATGATTAAGTTTTAATACACAGCTTGAAAGTAACTTTTAATGGCCAATGGATATATTACAACTTTTATCTGAACAATGATCTAGGAGCTCAGGCCTGAGAAATGTTGATGAATGGCTTTCAATCAGTCAATATCTCAAAAACATGATCAGTCTACAAATCCTATTGTGTTGTTTTTCATATCTCCTAAAACCTTTGGTGCATCTCAACACATTTATCTCCATGACACTTATCAACATCCTCAAATACAAAGGCCATAAGCATCAGTTTGTAGCAAAATATAGCCAAGAATCCATCTACAAATGGAGTTTATCAAATTAAAATAAAGAATCAAAGTCAGCTAAAGTTATGTATCGTTAGGTCCTAGTCATACAAACTCATGTACTTTCCATACAGCTAAAATAGAAAAAATGTGCTTCAGTGGCATGGGGAAGAAGATACATGGCTTGGAAAAGAAATATCACATCAAAAAAAAAAAAAAAAAAAAAAAAAGCCTAGCCAAATCTCCTAGAAAAAGCAAAAACAAAATAAGCAAGCAGCAAGTATAATTTCTTCTTTTTCTCTGATTCCACTTATTTTTCTTTATTTTAGAAATTTGGAAATAACAGAAAAGCATAAGAAAAAAATTAAAATCTATAGTAAACTTACTATCTAGAAATAACAGTCACATTATGCTGTCCCTTCCATTCTTTTTTCCCCTATTTCTAATCATGTTTATAAACAAAATAAATTAATATTCTCACCATCCAGATACTTGACGCTATATTGACACTATAATTCAACTGCATCGTTAATATGAAGTTACTATGAATAACAATGCCCCTAAAATGTGAACAGGACATACTCAAAGGTGCCTGCATGCTGACAACAGACATAAAATGACTGAAGCTGGTAGAACATCAAACAAACTAATGCTGAGATTGCCTTAGGAAATGAATCAATTTTGGATGTTATCAATTACAACTTAGATAAACGAAATTTTCAAGAAAATTGCCAGATCTCTCATAATGACATTTATATTTATTTCTTATGTGACAGTATCTTACAAATACATACAAAAAACAAAAATAAAGTCAGAGGGTGAAGAGACTGGAAAATAGTACAGCACTCTTCATCCTTATGATTATAATTTTAGTGATGACTCCTCATTACCAAAATATTGACTGCTGTTTTCTAACAAGAGAAAAGAACTCAGGACTAATCTTTTATTTAATGGAAAAACCTTCTGGGAGGTACCTTTCAACTGGGGCCATATCCAAAGATAATAGAAGAGTTAGTGTTGTCATGTGCTATAAGTCTTGTTTATAAAAAATTTTATGATTTTCTGATTTTTTTCCTCCTTAAAGAATCAACTTAGAGAAGCAAAGAAACTTCATGAGGCAAGTACTTTGTGTACATGCATGGGAGAGCAGTTGCTAACCATTCTGTTGTAGTAGACTTGAATGATTTTTAACTTTATTTTGTTAAGGGAAATTTCTTGTCCTTATTGATCGATTCCAAGTTTCAGTTGATTTTAGCTTCCATTTTTCAGCTATGGAATTGTATCTCATTAATAAAATAGCCTAAAATTGTTTAACCACGTTTCTTCATTTAAGTTAACAGAGTTTGGGACTCACAGAGCTTAAACAAAAGTGTTTAAAGGAATTTGAGTTATTAATATTTTCCCTGGAGAAGGAAAAAATGAAAATAATTCCAATATACTTCAATTACATTAACTTTTAATACAGGATTATAAAGTTATTATGAGACTTTGCCAGCTATGCTTTGTCACATTTCTTTGTCCTACAGATTATTTAACATACTACAGATGTTTAACAGGCACAAATATCAAGGGCAAGTGGAATTTAACCATAAAAGAAAATGATTTATATTTCACTTAGACTGTAAGTTTTCAAAAGACAGATGTTACATCACAATCTAACTGCACACAATGCTTCGAAGCCTATAGCCTACAAGCAAAATTGTCTGCTTCCTTAGGAAGATGGAGACAGCTGTTAGTATTGCAAATGGAAGCTCCTAATGGAAGGAGAGATTTTGTTTTTAATAAGAAATCAAAATCATGATGCATTATAATTAATGTATGATTATAGTTCATGATGCTGAGTGGGAAACACTAATTAGAAGTAAACTATATTATGTGGGAGGTGAAAAATGCATCAAGATCAACTTTTAGAGGAAAAAAGGAGGTAAGCTGGTAAATTCTGGAGAGCTTCCAGGTAGTGCTAACTTTTGCTTTTCCAGCTTGAAGTAATGAATCATGTCGTGATATATCCACAATGTACTGTCTGGCAATGGATTGGAACTTAGAAAAAAAATCCCCAGAAATCAGAAATACTGGACTGAGAAAGCCTAGATTCTCATTTTTCTGGTACCCTAACTAAGGAAAATATCCTATCCCTCCCCTCACCTCAGAAGTTTGTGTCTTCCCAAAGAAGGAGGAAGTTTAACAGAAGTCAAGAACAATCACATTAAAAATAGGCTAAACAAATATGGGAAGCAACTGATTCTTCTTGGAAGCAGTGGTTGTAGATCATCACTGGTTTTAAAATCTAAGTGCATATCAATATCTGGGTAGCTTTTCAAAAACTTCAGATGCATAGGCTCACCCTGGATCCACCCCCAAAATATTTGGGAATGGGGCTTAGGAACTGGTTATTCTAACACATTTCTGAGATATTTCTTAAGTATCTAGTACAGCCCTACTCCACAGGAGCCTCTTGGTCCCAAATAGATTCCTTTAGCTCAATGTTATAGATATACATCAATTAATATTAGAAAAACGTCATTTTAGACAAAATAAGTCATCAATTTGTATATTTTCCAACAAACTATATTTGGAATGTATAATAAATACATTTACATGAATGAATGTTTAAGGTAACATGTTTGATTTTATCATATCATCATCAACTGACTTTAATACATATCAAATCCATTTAAAAAATATTTATTGAGCACATACTATATGATGGGTAGGCTGCTATAGGCACATGGTTTTTAAAAGGCTGGGTATAAATATAATATTTCCAAGATGCCTTTTATATTTTATTGGCTTACATAATAATTCTATATTATGTTAATCTGTTGAATTTTAACTGATATTTTAGCACTAAAACATGACTTGTAGATTTTCTGACTCTCTACACTCTTCATAAAATAATCACCATAAACTTTATCAAATCTACCATATTTGGAGAATAATAAATAAAAAACCCAAGAAAGCTTTCTATTGAAAAAAAGCCAAACAAAAAATGCTTTCTGTTGAATCCTTTAAAAATACTAAACTTGGGCAGGGCGCGGTGGCTCACGCCTGTAATCCCAGCACTCTGGGAGGCCGAGGCAGGTGGATCACGAGGTCAAGAGATCGAGACCATCCTGGTCAACATGGTGAAACCCCGTCTCTACTAAAAATACAAAAAATTAGCTGGGCATGGTGGCGCGTGCCTGTAATCCCAGCTACTCAGGAGGCTGAGACAGGAGAATTGCCTGAACCCAGGAGGTGGAGGTTGCGGTGAGCCGAGATTGCGCCATTGCACTCCAGCCTGGGTAACAAGAGCGAAACTTCGTCTCAAAAAAAAAAAATACTAAATTTATTAATATTTAAGAGTATTTCCTCCCTTTACTTCCATTTACTTTGCAAATTAATTACGTTCAGATTTGGTTTTCCCAGGGTAAACTCTTAGTACTCTTGCATTGTGTATGCTCTGAGAAAGACCTATGCTTCATCAAATAAAGGAACAGCTCTTGGTTTCAAAATTAGTAAGAGGCAAATGATAATTTTAACAGCTTGCAACTCCATGGGCAATCAGTGCTAAAGTTGTTAATGATTAAGAAATAAAAGAAACTCTAACGCTTTAATAGCTGACTGTATGCATAAAACCTGTCACTAACACAGAAAACTTAGTAAATAATTAGGAATCTTCCCCCATGGGGTTAGTCATAGCTGCTATTTAGGACTTGGACAGTTGTAACTCTACTGTAAAAGTAATGTTCTGTCAATCCCACACATATGGGCACTAAAACAGTCCAATGGAAGGCAAAGAATGGTATATATTTACCATTACATTCAACTGACAGCACCAGGTGGAAGGATTTTCAACAGATTAACTGAAACATTTGGAAAATCCTTTCAAGGTGGCTGATAAAAATGCACATGCAAAACACAAAATATAAACTGTATAGGCAAAAAGTCATCATTATGTTTGTAACTTCAGAAAGTATATAATCATTTTATTTGCATGAATAAATTGAAATACTGAGCTCAGAACAACGGCAGGAGGCTAGAATTTTCTACTGAAATTTTGTAATCTTCTTTGGAAAAAACTGTCCCATAAAGTCTTTAGATGACTTGATATCTGAAATGAACTAAGTGGTATACACACTAATGGATCAGAAGAAAATAGTAAATATGAAGAGTTCCATTCTTTTAGAATAGTAACTACCTTTGAAGTCACACTGAATATATTGATAATACATTTAAATTATTTTTATCATCAACCCTATTGGTTAATGATAGGTATTCCATCTCTTCAATTCTTGTTAGTGGCTCTGTGAGTATTTGTCTCTTCATTAGCTTTACATCTATAATTGGGCAAGAAGAAGTGGAAAAAATTAAATTGAAATGGGGTATACGTTAACTGCAGCAGGTAAAGGAGGAGGTGGAAGCTGCTGGTGAAAATCGGAGTTGTGGGTCATTCACTCATT